GGCGCAGGCGGCACGGTGGTCGCCGTCCGCATCCAGCGCTGGAGATCAGAAGCTCTTGGATTTTGTCAGTGGCGAGAACATGCAATCCCGCACGGATTAAATTCTAGCCAGCCGCAATGACGCCTGCGCCGGCACGAAAGGACGCGCGCGGAACACTTCGGGCTAGGCGCGGCCGAGGCCGGGGTGTTTGGCCCACGCGTTGAGCGTGCGTGTCCCAGGAGCCGGGCGCAGGCAGCAACAGGACATACACGCGAGAGCTAGCTGGAGGGAGCGCTGAGCGCGGCCCGCTACAGTACTGGACGGTTTGCGTTGGTGCAGGCGGAACAAGCCCGCAACATGCTGGGCGCGCGGCCCTGTCAGCTACTGCACTTCCCCAACCTGGTACGTCGACAGAATCTTCATGGCAGGTATGAACTGAAGGTCGTCGGGGGCTGGCCCGCGTAGCGGCTGCACGCCTCATCTCGACCTTCCTGCGCAAGTGCAAGCACGTCTGCTTGGGCAGGTCAGGGGAGGGCAGCACCCAGTGTGCTCCAGCCACACACTGTGGCTGCCGAAGCACCATTGCAAAATGCGGGCAATGCCAACTTGATGCCACAGAGGGACCCACGATTTTAACAATAATTATTTTCAGGTGGTGGAGGAGGTCACCTTCGGGTTCCCGTGTTCGTGGGCGGTGAAAGCACACGAACTGGGACTTGTCTACGTCAGTCCGCTGACGTGCCTGAGCGCCGACAGCGACTTGCGTGTTATTATAGTTTTAAAGCACGCAGTGGGCACTTTCCCAACAAGCGTCGTGGGGGCGCCGGGCAGGCAGGCCGCCGATGTTGATCTACCCGCGGCTCAGCGTCCAGCATGTAGTGCTGCTAACCCTCAACATGCCAGCCGCCTGCTTGTTGCTGCAAGCCTTCGAAGCTAGACGTGGGCATGTGCCCCGGCGGGTCAGGGGAGGGCAGTACCCAGTGCTTTCCAACGCCTCACGTTGAAGGCATCGTTACAAAATGCGGGAAGTGCCAACTTCATGCGCAGAGGGACCACCGAGCAGCTAGCCGTGGAAATCATTGGAACAGCTTGGCTGCACATGCTGCACGACGGCGCGAGACAAACACATTGCGGGGCATTGCGGTGGCCCATGGGCGCGGCTGCGGCGCCGTGGTGGATGTTTGCGGTGATCACCCGCGTACCGGTCTGCTCGCCCGGCGAGCTAAGCCGTTGGAGCGTGCCTGGATAAGGGTCGTGCGTGAAGCACTCGAGCTTGCGAGCCCCTTCTCCGCTCCGAAGAGCCGCCGCCAGGGGCTGGCACAGGCGGTGGTGGGGCCTACTCAGTGTGGCTGTGCAAAACACGCTTGCTGCCACTTTGCTCGGGACGCCGCCAGTCCATGCACCCATGCCTGGCGCACAGGCACCGCCTCTGCAGGACGTCCTGCACGACGCGTGCCCGCCTGTGCCCAGCTGCCTGCCGGCCCGCCGAGCCGCGGCAGCCCCTCTGATGCCGTAGCTCGCAGTGCACTGGGGCGGCGCGTGGATAGCCCGAGAAGTTGGTGCATGGGGGAAAAAAGCACGTAAGCGCAAGTGCGCCGGAACTCTTCGTGTAGCTGCTGCGCGAGCGTGCGTGCCACGAGACGGCTGAACATTTCCCCCACCACCCGGGCTTTGACGTCGCTTCAGGGTTTAGTAAGCGCAACCATGCGGCCGAATCGATCTGCCGGGATAATCGCCTCTGGTATACCTCTGCAAGGGCACGGTGCGGGTCGCAGTGCGTAGCGCGGCCCTGTGTGTGGGGCTTCGGCTGTGCCGCGGAGACAGCTTCCTTGGCTGTTCCCGCCGGCGCAGTTCCTTCTCGGAGGCTCGTGGCCAGCGGTAAAGGAGCATGCGCGTCGACAGCAGGAACAGCTTCCAGCCGGTGCTCGCTTGCGCGGGCGTCGGTGCGTCCCGGATGGACTCCAGCCCTATACACGGAAAGCATTGCCGGAGCTGATGTGGGGGCGGCTGGAAGTTTTGCTTGCTTGTGCAGCATGTCTCCGCCAGCCTATGCCAGAAGCTCTGCCACAGACGTCGCAACCTCGCGGTCGCCAGCAAATGCTTCAGCTGCAAGACGCTGCGGGAGGTCACTCATTCCTCAGTCACTCTTCCACAAGTAGGAATTTGAAAAGACCTAGACGAACCCCTTTGCCCTGGACCATTTTCCGGTGGCCAACACACGTTCCCCATTCATCTGATGCAGTACGTGCTGCATCGGGTTTATGAAAATGGGGGGTCCAGGGGGTTTTTATGAAAATGGGGGTCCAGGGGTTTCACTGACTCTCCGCCAATAGATGCCTATAAGACCGAGGCTGGGGCTTTGTGCAGCAGCGCCAGCCAAAGCCGACCTCGACCTTTTTGACAAAGGGCGGCAAAGGCTAGGGACAAGCTGCTTGGGACACCTGTATAAGGGGCACTTGGTGATGAATGTTGTGAAGCATACCTTTCCTGAGCACGTTCCCCAAGCACAACCACCAGATCGACAACAAAGCCGGACAGCACCCACAAAGGAGATCGAGTCCCGAGAGCCCCCGCCGACAGCCAACAAGGACCACGGGGACCCCAACGGTGACAACTAGGACAACAACGTGGACCCCGAGGACTGCAGCAGCAAACAGGTTCGTCGAGAAGGCCCCGAACAACCAGAAGCTAAGCTAAAGATGAGTTCCAAAGGCAAGCCACAACCCGCAAGCAGCTCACAGACATGTGTCGTTTTCCTTGCCGTGTGCGAAGCATAGTGGCATAGTGGTTACATGTTAGAGATACAGTGTGGTGAGCCCGGGGAAGCACAGTGTGAGCATTCCTTTGCGAGTTTTTGAGTCGGACGGCAAAATGCCACAGTCCAGCTTCCTGGGACTGAGTGAGAAGAGACCCGCTACTTGCTGACGGGCTCTCGCTGCCACGTGACCATGGCCTCTGGCTCGGAGCCGCTGCCGGCGGAGACGAAATCCGCGATCCAGGCGTGCGGGAGGCGATCACCGAGGAGTTGAAGAACACCACGAAGGCGAAGGGCAAAGGACGCAGCCGCGGCAGTGGGGAAAAGACGGAGTACGACACCACCCGCAAGCCCTCGTGGACACACCGACCTATGGCCGTGCCACGGACGCCACTACTACGGCACGGGAGCAGACCGTTATGGCAAGTGGTCGGATGCACAGTGTGGCCGGAGCCGAACTGCATGCGGTCGTGCAGCTATTAAGGCAAACGTCGGGCCCTATCTCCTTCGCTAGCGACTCCCAGTCGAATACGAGACTGTTTAAGCATGCTTAAGAGTTTGGTGTCCAGCCGTCGTCTGCGATTTCTCTGGTCGAATATGGACCTGCGGCACGAAGTGACGAAGCTTTGTTGCAGCGGTTGTTGTGAGGCACTTGGGTAAGGTCTCACCTCACCTTGCCTATGCTTGAAGCTGAATTGGGCCCAGAACTTGCCCGGGCCTACTTCAGCAATGCCTAAGGCCATGAAGCCGCGGCAGTTTGTCGTCGCTGGTTGGATCGGCAGCCTTTGTTGTCCACGTGGGTCGACATCCGCAGGCGGTCTGACACCAGGAGCTGGAAAATCTTTTGAGTACTTGACGTCCAGAGCGGTGCGCATTCTTCGAGCCCCGCGGGAGGCCCGCGAGAAGGGCCCGAGGCCTGCCACTCGTAGAGAATTTCTCGTTAGTTTCCCCATCCTTTACCCGCATCATTCTTGGAGATTCGGCGTTGCCTCATCCTTCTCTAGCTGTCAAACTTGAGAGCTGGCTGCAGGCCCATGCTATCGAACCACTCTTGGCTGGGTTGGTTGTGCAGTCCACCGTAGCCATGAGTTGGATTTTTCGGTTGTCGCGGGGCTGTCGGGCCTAGGGCCTCAGGACGAGGGTTTCGGTGTACACTGAGACAAGGAGCCAAGCCATGCCAAGCCGGGACCGAAGCATCATGCTGACATGCCCTGCATGTTGACAAGCACATTAGGTTTAGTAAATCCGTCCTCGTAAGGTCACCGTTCAGCAAGTCCTCATCGATTTGACCAAGGGCTCAATGTGGCCGCACTAACAAATGCACGAGTCAAGGCTGTCATTTGCGCAAGAGCCTCCAGCGTTTTTAATCATCTGCACTTCGAGGGAAGTCTCAATGAATTTGAACCATGCCGTAGCAGTAACTGTGCAGAAGATCTCTAGTTCTTGTAGGCTTCGCAAGGAGTATCGCGCAACTCTGCCTGCACAGTACTGACGGTCTGGCTGATCCTCAAGACGAGGCCACAAAGCAACATGTCCCTTGTGGACGTCCGTAGGAACGAATTATGCAATGCAAGCCATGCGGCACGGGCGTCTTGCATGTCTGCTAACAGCTGACTAGTATGACTCCGTATGACAGTATGACACCTTCGTGACCAAGATGATCCGAGATGTCGATTCTTCACACCAGTTCACAGGCTGCGATGCTTCGACGCACCTTCAGGAGCTAGAGCACATCAGAGCTTTCGACACTCCTCGGTCTGCCTGGACCTGCGGAAGGCCGCCACGACTTCCAATGCACCAGACAAGCACCAGAAGCACATCGCGAAAGCCTCGTGTGACCAGGCCAGGGCCTTAATTCTGTGCGACGAACAAAAACTATTCCCCCGTAAACCTACATGCTACTGGCACTTCCCCGCATCGCTACTGGCAGTTTGCTTGAGCTTGAAGCAGAGGCTGGAGTGCCTTGCATGCAGGAGGCGTCTTTTCCGGTCCCTCCTGCATGGAGTTCCGGTTCCGAACCTGCAAGCCGTCGCCGTCGAGGGCCTGGACTTGGAGGCCCAGACTCTGGCAGACTCTGTCCCTTGATTCTTGCCTGAGGGATCGAAGTTAAGCACTCTGCGGGCGCCGTAGCCTTTGCAAGACGTCGTCTCTCCTGCGTTCCTTGCTTGCACTCTGAACTCTGAGCTCCTGTCACTCCAAGCCGTGCGCTTCGACAAGGACCGAGGTCTCCCGGCCTAAGGCACGGGTCGAAGAAAGTCGAAGCTGTCGAAGGGCCAAACGCGAGACATTGCCAGGCCTCGGAAGCGTCCTCCTGCAGTCTGGCGAATCAGCTACAGGCTAAAGGTCGATGCAAAGCGTCGCAAGGCAGTGATCTCTCCTCATCTACCTGCACGAGCTTCGGAGACATCGAACCGCAATCAGACAGAATAGAAAACGCTGATGTGCCTGCAATCTGCGCTGCTCCCTGAGATCTGGCCTTGCACGACCAAGCTTCAGCTTCTTCAAGATGCTTTGAAGCATCTTGCAGTCCGCGCGCGGGCACGGCACCCGGAGACACCTAGAGTCCGGCGTCTTGCTGATGCCAATCCTCTGTGCCCAGCTCTTCGTGGGGACCTCTGGGAGGGCCGGAATGGAAAGGCCGGTTCATCGCAAAGCTCCAGCTGCAAGCTCGAGCTTCAAGCCAGAAGTCGTTCCATGGATGGGGGAAGATCCACGCTCGTGCCTGTCGCGGAGAAAGGGTATTACGAGTAGCACCGGTGTCACAGTGAGACTGAGCTCTGCACAGTTGTACTGCATGTCTTCACCCTTCTGTCCCATGTTTAGAGGGCCGTACCTGTGCCCCAAAAAATCAGCTGCAGAATGCTGCAGATCAGATTGGAGCCGCAGCCTCTCCAGGAAAGGAAATGCAGCCATCCAGCCGCCACCCACACGTACCTGCTGAGTCGCACGCGTAGTGAAGTGATAAGCACCCCCTTGTCAAGTGGACAAGCAGACAACAACAGCTTGCAAAGCTAGTTCAACTAAGATAAATCCACAATATTCCGAGTTTCGACAAGTCATCTTCAGTTGGTGGCACAAGCGCCTGCAGGAACCGCCCTCAACTGTGTCGGGAAGCTCATGCAACGGATCTGAAGAAAGCCGAATGACACAAAGGGCAGCGAAGACTTGACCAGACAACTTTCCCGACAGTACCTGGCCGTCCATCCCATGTTGCTCTGGCCTGCAACCCACCATGCGTGACCCGGCAAACGATCTTCTTGCCCGTTTGACCTTTCCATGCTCGAGGAGGGTGCAGAGAAAAGCAATGGCTGAATCTGAGACAAACACTGCCCATGCGGTAAACGCAGCGCTTTTCCTACTAAATTGCGCCGTATCACTCGCTAAGACTCAACTGGAAAGGAGCTTTGCAGAAGTTGTCCTTAACGAGGCACCACTGAGGATGTTGGGGGAAGCGCTGCAGCCTCAGGTGACATGTGTTTGGCCCAGCGGTGGATTCACAGCAGAATCTGCTCGGTCATGTTAACTGCATCACACTACATGCACAGGCGTCACGCGTTCCTGGGCAAGAAACACGGTGCGCCACATCTCGTCTACCTCGTCTGTATGCGGCGCTGGCTCATACCTAGGGTACGGCATAAGCAGGATCCGCGATTCTCTGTCAAACTCTTGCCGGGATCCGAACGAGGAGCCCTTGTAACTCGAGCTGCCTTGGATTTCAAGATGCCCACACATTCTTCCTGAATTTCCAGTGCCTGCTTAAATCGCTGTAAGACTTCCATCTGTGGGTGAACAAGGATCAGACGCGACATGCCGGAGCCGTTTGGGAGAGAACAGTGCACGTCCCCACCTTGGCTCAGCAGACCGAATTGGCTGAACAACTCATAGACAATTTCAACATATCTGACGGGTCGTATCGATTCACTGCACTGCTCTGAGAGACTGCGGGCGGGGCTGTGAGCTGGACTCGCTCGAGCACCTCGACGCATCAGAGCTTCCCTTCACCTAATATCACGTTGTTCCTCCGATGCACAACCAATTAGATACGCTTCCGCCCGCATGTTGTCCCATGTTGTAAATCATCTTGGAATCCATTCAACATTACACTCCGAAATAGGCTTGAGACGATGTCGTGCGGGACTTGGCGGTGAAGATGAAGGTTGCCTGCAAACGCTGGAAGCATGTCGGAATCCGAGTAAGTCTTGGCGTAACCTCCCGCGCTGCAACTGATCTCAATACATCCAGGTCCCGACTTTGGAGGTGACCATGAGGCATGGCGCAGTGATGGCTGCCTTTTTGGCATGACATGGCCGTGCATTGCACGGGGTGGAGATATTTTTTTTGAGTTTTTGGACTTTTTTGGGGGAGCGTGGGTGGTTCTCTGACTTTCCATAGGAAAACCTCTATTTTCACTAGGTTTTGATAGGACAACCTGTCTTATCTCTATATCTAATAGCAAAAACCTCTATTGTCTAAAAGATGCCTCAAGAAAACCTGTGTTTTCTCCATATTTCATGAGGCAAATAAACCCTTCTCTATGCTGAAACGGTACATCTCTATTTTCTTCATATTTCCATAGGAAAACCAACACAATCATCGCTGATAGGTTTCAACTAGGGAAACTCATATACTTTGAGGCAGGCTTGCACGGCTTACAACACCCCAATTTGCAATGAACTTGGCCATGGGCTCCACATCCGGTGTACCGTTGTCAAGATGATGACCTCAAGTCACAGACCGTGGCTCATGCGCCGGCAGTACCGTGAAAAGAAAGCAGCACTGAACACTGCCTTCATCAAGCGGCCCCAGTGATTGCACCTGGCACACACTGCTTGTTGCCGGCGTACCGTACGCTAACTTCATAAGCTGAGGAGGTTGCTTTTTATTCTATGCCGCAGTTCCCCAGGGCGGCTGATCAGACTAAACTGAACGTTACCGCTTTCGTGCTTCTTGCCATTGATCGCCACATTCCTTCTGCTACACTCTTGGGACTTCCCTGTATAAGGCCGAGCATCTTGCTTCGACAGAACAGTCCTGGAACGAGCTTACACAAGTCCATCATCCTGCCCCGGAGCATTCTTACGAGCTGTAGCGCTCTTGACTCTTGACTGGAAGAGTCTACCACGCAGGTCTTATGGGCACGCAGGATTTGCTTCCGCATGTATATGTTTCACTGAAGCATGCTCATGCACGCTGCAGGTCGTAGGAGTAAGCGACATCAACTTCTGAAAGAAAACATGGCATCTCGTATGTCATGCAAAACACCTGACGTAATTAGCTAGTTGCCCCTTCCCTCCTCGCCCTCCCCCAACCAAAGCATGCGTCCTCGCTGCGTGCATGCCGGTGACATCGAGCAAGTTCACCGCGCAGCCTCGATGGAGGCATCCCAACACCCGGCAAGCAAAGGCCACACTGCCACAGGTTTTAAATTCTTAAGATACACATAGACACTCACAGCATATGTTAAGAGCAGCACCAATGCATCTCTGACTGCGCCTGTCGTCTCGTGGTGGACTTAAGCGAGAACTGCACATCATCGGATGTCAGCCTCTCTCATCTGCTGCTCTGCGTGCAGCTTGCCGCTGGACAGCTGCCTGGGCATGATAAGCTTAATTCAGCAATTCTCAAAGTTGCATCGCGCTCGATGTCTCAAATGGCCGGCGAGCACCCCAAAACTTCAACAATCGTCCTCCAAGGATCACCGTCAGTTAGTTACACGAATTTCCATCGATCAGTCCAAGCGCTTGTCTTGATTGCTGGTCGAAGTTCAAGAGGGTACAAGCGACAACAGACGATCTCAGGCCATCCATGTGGCATAACGGCGATACATACTGGCACTGTCTGTTTTTACGTGGAGACTATATCCAACCCATGCCGGGCACGCTCCACTCTGGAGATCAATGCATTTTGGGAGCGCTCAGCATCCTGTCTCTGTTGCAAACCTTGCACGGCTCGTGCGCACGAGAACTCTGACTGTGGGAAGCTACTGCAGCTCACTAGGCCAAGCAAGAAAGATGCAGAATCCTCATCTTTTCTCCGATGCAAACGCAGGTCCGGGCTGGCATCAATGCAACATGCCCAGTCAAAGGCCCGTTTCAGCTGCTCCCGAGGTTGGCCTTCGATTTTGTGCGCCGATTAAGTCGACGCCCGGCCGGTCGAGATGGCCTGCAATAACACTCATATTTTCCATCAGTGGAGCAACCCTTCCCAGACACAAGCTTCGATTCGAAACCAGCACGACGTCTCCGCATCGACAACGCTGGTGCTGGTGGTGGTGCTATGGCTCCTCTCTCTTTCCATGTCTTTCTCCGGGTCAAAGAAGCGAACTCCTCGGGCGAGGGGCACCCCTTCCGGTCTTGTGCTCCGACGCGTCTTCACATGTCTAGTGAAATGAGAGTCTCGCTCTTTTTTTCTGAAGGTGAATAGGAGGGTTTGCCCCCTGCGCAAGTGAACAATGCTTTTGGACGGCAAAAACAAACGAATCTGCAGCGACGTTGGCCTACCGACCCTGCTCTGACGAAAGCGACTTCGCGAAACAACGAGCTGGAGAATTGAAGTCATGCCAACCAGGGCCCAGGTTTTCGCTGCCCCCCATGATTCTCAATTGCCTGTGCAACTCGCGATCCTGTATGCCCCTGTCCAAACGTGTTTTACTGAGATCAACAAAATAGCTTTCAAGCTGCTACGTTTTTCCATAATCATAATAGTGGTGGTCAGAATCACGGCACAGCGGACTCAGAATTGCTCAGTGTTTCATCGTTGCCTGTGGCAAAGGCCATAGTGATATCGGCCAAAGCCGCCTGGTTCCATCTTCCCATCATGAGCGCTGGCTGTCGTTTGTGATTGTCCTCTCCCGCCATGGAGGCGGCAGGTTCTCGACTTCGCTTCCAATGCTCCGATTTAGGCTCGCAAGTCTGCTGTCTGCTTCTGCTGGCCTGCCGTCACCTTCCTTAGCATCTTGAGCATGCCCATGAACTGTGCTGTCACGGATCGCTCGACTTGGTCCACAACCAATGTGCTCACCTCCCCGACGGTTTTACCTCCACTCTTTCTTGCCGGAGCATTGGCCGCCGTGTGCTAGAATAATCTCGCTTTTGGTCCGCCCCCACTTCTGCCGGCTCTCCCCGTCTTGAGTGGGTGGGGCTGCCCCTTTTCACTGAAGCGGTTGATGTCGCCGTGGTAGTGTCGCGACTTAGCAGTATTCGTTGTCTAGGCCGTCTGCAAGACGTCACCCTTGCTTTACAAAAAAATTCGAAAGCCCCAAGCTCCGGGGTTGAACTCATCGAACTTGGCCGGGCAGTCCCGGCAAAGCTTTGATCCTATCCCCACGTATATAGTAGTTGTCATGGCACCGCATGGCACCGCGGTCGCAGCTCTCCCCCTCGGCTTTGGATGCGTCCGAAGCCCCCCGGGCCGATGGCCCACCCATGCTGTTGCGCCTTGTGGGGAGGAGTGAAAGCCCGGATCTCAAGTCGAGGAAAAAGGAAGCCAATAGCACGCGAGGATGACCATACGGTTCTTGCCGACTTGAGTCCTTGCAGGAAACAACTGCCACATTTGGACATTGCCTTTGAAAAGGAAGGGGAGATTCGCACAACATCTTAATTATTCCCAAGCGTGATTCCCCACGTATGACTCAGCGAATCGAAGGCAGTAAAGAGCAGCCTCGGCATAGTAGCTGGCATAAGCTGCCAACCTTGGGCGATCGTCAACTCATCATCCAGCCCATCGCGGCTGAGGCCATCAGAAGGGTTCGCCTCACTTTCGACATTTCGAAATACACACTGCAGCCCAAGCGCGCAAACATGAGCTGCGTGACGGCTGCAAGGATCAAAAGATCCGCCACAATGCTGGCGCCTGTCATCAGCAGCTGGCAGGCGCTTTGGTTGTCGATGTACCACACGACGTCCTGGCCCTGTAGGAGGGACGAAACGCTGTGGGGTACCCTGCCAGAGCTTCACAGGCATTGATTATCATTGATATGTGTTTTCGCACCTGAAAAAGCTCGACAATGTCGTCAAAGATATCAAGGGACATGCCAACAGGGCGTCTGGAAGCGTCAGGTGCAAAGATGACAAAGGACACAAAACGCCTCAGACTATAAGTGCTGACAGTCTGCACATAATGATTGCCTGCACCTGATCGCCGCAAAACTCCTTGGAGGATGCGAGCTCATCTTACGAGGCATCCATGCACAGGCCTCGGTAAGCCCTCCGTCCGGGGCCTCCGGGGCCAAGGCAAAAGACGAGCACGCACAGTCAAAGCAGCCTCAAAGACATCCTTGAAACCCAGGAGGTGCAAAGGGCAAGCCCAATGAAAAGGGCGGCGATTGCCCAATCTCCCAGCCTTACCCATCGAACAAGCACCCTTAAGGAAGGGGCCGTCACGCGCAAGGCCATAGGATCGCTGTAAATGTACGAACCGAAGGCAAGCCACAAGAGGCAACAGTGCAAAACCGCAAATGGCGGCCAGCCTGGAAGAGCGCTGGGTAGCCAGCCGACACCGTAACGGCTCACTTGCGGGGCTGTATGTCCGACTGCAATCTTGTTAAAGGGACAATCAAGGGAAGCGGGACAGGAACACCCACATGCCTCTGCATCCACGAAAAACTCTGGAACAGGTTTCGGGCCACTGTGGGGCCCCGCACTTTCTGGAGGAATCCATTGATGCTCTCGACCGAAGGTTCACAATGCATGACGGGCATCATGACGGGTGGTGGTAGACGGCACCATCTAAGCCAAGAGCTGCGATGCTGCCACAGAGCAAACTCCTCAGTAGTCGCAAAGCTGGCGACAAAAAAGTCGCGAGCGCTCGAAGGTTGAGACACCAGGAGAGGGCTGAATCGCAAGCGATCTTGGGACCAGCACCAATGCACGGCTTGAGCAGCCGAACTTTAGTGATCGGGCCAGTTGGTGCGGAGACTTTGAGATGTTCAACCACAGACGGGGCCCGGACGGCTGCCGATTGCACCTTGTGTAACCTGGACACCCCTAGTGCAGCGTCAGCATCGTCAACAAAACCAGCCAGGCAGATTCTTGAGGGATGGGCCATGCCTATGTTTTGGCAACAGTGACATCCACAATGAGAGAAGAGTCACTGCTCGACCTCAGGCTCAAGCGCAAGAAATAGCATGCCCACTGCGCAACTGATTGTCCTTCGAACATTTCGAACCATAGCAGCGACAAGCATAATGCTGCATATGCCAATCCCATCCAGTCCGGTATGCACACGAGAGCTAATGTTCCGATATGTTCCGCCTCCTCCCCCTTTTCTCTCTTTCGCTCCCTCTTGCTTGCTTGCTGGACGTTTCTCTTTCTTTCCGCAGAGTTATGGTGAGGAGTTTGGGCGTTTTTGTTCTTCAACTCAGCCAAGAGGAGGACCGGACAGCCCTCCCCGGCGTTTTTTTTTCTCTCTCTGTCTCTCAGGCTCCGAGAGCCTGAACCACTCACGCTGTCTCTTTCTTTCTCAAGGGTTGAGGGAGAGGGGAGAAGCTCCCCTCACCCGCGCGCGTCAGGCTGTCTCTCTCTCTCTCTCTCTCGCCCACTCGCTCGCTGCAAAGGATCCCAACCTTGGATCACAACCGATCATTCCAATGAAAGCGCACTCCCGGTTGTAACCACCAGACAAGCACCACAACTCAGCTGCCTGATGCCAGCGATGGCAGCCTACCCGGGGGGTGGGGGGGGGGGGGAAACGTCTCACAGCGCAGAGGGAAGGAGCAGATCTTGCCTTCAGCATCTCTCCGTCTGGCAGCTGCACCTGTCAAGTCTCGTGGAACAGGCAACCGTTACTCTGTCATCCACTGCCCCCGTTCGGTGAGCACCTCGGGCACCTCCTGCGTCGGCTCTCGGAACAAAGTCAGCCGCACTGCACCGGAAGGGACGATGGGTACCATCAGATAGCCTCAGCAAAAGCCCTAGGCGGCGGACTCAAGCGATGTACAAACCACCATGTTTGTCTTTTGCACATGCGCTTACCTGCCTTCCACGAAACGTGGGCTACCCATCGCAATGACCCGGACACCTGCTGGCACCTCACGCGGCAGCTCTTGTACTGAGTGGAGCGGACTGAAATGTGGCAGATGCATGCGCCGCGGCGCCTCTCCAACGCATCTCCAAGACTCAGGAGATTCGAAAACAGGGGCGTCCACGTACGCCACCAGGTGGCTGCCAGGCTTCACCTTGGAGCGTTCAAGTGCCTTTGCGGCATTGTGCCACCGAGCGAATGATCCCTCAAATAATTTGCATATTTCTGCACCTTGGAAATGGCAAGGGCTATCACTGGTTTTGGCCGGGCTGGCACATCCGTGGTGCCTGAGTTGCCAACTACCTCTGTCATTATCACTCCTGCCGCTGCCGCTGCAGCTGCTACAACTCTGGTGTTGTTCTTCTGCTGCTGCTGCTGCTGCTGCTGCTGCTGTTGCTGTTGAACAGCTCTTGCTATGGCTACGCAGCGGCCGCGGCTACTGTACCGCTGCTGCCGTTCCCTTTGCAACGGCTGAGCTACTGCTAAAGCTTTTAAGCACCTGCTTCTGCAGTACTACCGAGACCGCTGCCATCACCACTGCCGCTATTGCTACAGCTACTGCTAGAGCTGCTGCTGAAGCTACTGCTACACGCTACCACCAGCGCTACAGCTAAGGCCACACTGTGACTACTGCTGCTGCCACTCCTTCTCCTCTTTCCCTCCTCGCCCGGTCCTCCTCCGGGCGCTACCACTACCACCACCACCACCACCACTGCCACCAGCACCACTACCACCATTACCACCACCATCAACACGACCACGACCACGACGACTTCACTACGACTACAACTACGACTACGACTACGACTACGACTACGACTACGACTACGACTACGACTACGACTACGACTACTACTACGACTACTACTACTACTACTACTACTACTACTGCTACTGCTACTACTACTACTA